GCACTAAAGTGTGGCCCTGTGTGAAATGCTTCTGATTGTTTTGTTTCTGTGACAGACAGTCATCACTTCAGGACACTCACTGACAGTCATACAGACTTTCACTGCAGGGTGTATTGCGTATTCTCTGATCGGTTTGGTTGTTGTTGTTTTGTTTTATGTTTGAACCTCGTGTTTGTCCTTCAGGCTTCCGAATGCCTTTGCCCTGAACTCCAATCACTCCGCGGTCGCTCCAGCCGCCGCGTCAGAAGACGTCATCAGCCCAGTGGAGACAGAGACGCTGAAGATTGAAGAAGTTCAGGCTCCAGCTACAGGAACCCGCAAGGCCAAAGTGCTTTATGATTATGATGCTGCTGACTCAAGTGAACTCTCCCTTCTGGCTGATGAGGTGAGGCTGGATCATCCGCTCTTTGTAGGCGATAAAACATAAATCATAGCTCATCTCTAACAGAAAGATAAACAAACATTTATTGAATTCTGAGAGGAGGAGGAGGAGTGTCTTTAAAGAGTTGAGGTCATGGTGCTGCTTAAGATGATGTAATCTGCTCAGTTAAGCTGGTTTTAGAGCTAATTTTGTCTTAAAAATATACAAACAATATTAAAAAAAAAGAAAAAGTAAAGCTTTTCATAAAGGTAATCTTTAATGTATGACATAAATATTTAATTTAGGCTAAAACTTGTTGCATATTTTACAATAATTGAGAAATAGATTTTTGTTCCAGAGGAGGCTAGAACAACACAAAAATATTTTTCTGTCGTCCAAATATTCATAGGTCTGCTGTAGCTCATGTCACACATGCAAAAGAAAACACAACAGCCACGAAAGGAAGAGGAGGCCTTTTTTACACTGAGAGGGAGGGAGAGCGTCAGAAATGTTAGAATCAAACCAGATGATCCTCCAACCATCCCTCACATAATGTATCACTGAGCAGATTTCCACAGCTCAATTCAGTTTATTTCTTTAGCGCCAATTCACAACACGTCATCTCAAGGCAGTTTATAGTTCAACCAGATCATACAGTCAAATTGAATCAAAGTTTTCTAAGGAAAACCAGTTGATTGCATCGACTCATTGACTCGAAGGCAATCCCTCACACTAAGCATGCACGTAGCAACAGCGGAGAGGCAAAAAACTCCCTTTTAACAGGAAGAATCCTCCAGCCGAACCAGGCTCAGTGTAATCAGCCATCTGCTGAGACCGACTGGGGTTCAAGGAGACAGAAGCAGAGATAGGAAATGCCACTGGAAAAGGCGTCCCTGTCCAGGAAACACAGCATGACAATCAAGCTCCAGGCCAGCTCCCATGTCAGAGGATGAACAGAGCACATCCAGCCAGTCACAGTCACAGAAACAGGACTACACTGGAAAACAGGCAAATCTCCAACATCTATAAATAAAACAGCTTGGATAAGTGGATGAGGTCCTGACAGCTTTTGGCTCAATTTAAATCCTCACCATTCATTAGAAGTTTGAAGTAAATAAAAGAGTAGAAACATAAACAGGGAGTAGTTTTCTTGTTTTTAAAACTATTCGTTGCTGTTTGGAGCGTCTTGGAACTCCTGCTTTCCCGTTACACCAAGATATGCTTGATTTCATTTAAAGGTTTAAAGAAGAATCCATTAACCAGCCATGGATTATCATTTTTAAAGCCATGTTCAGTTTCTTTATGCACACACAAAAATAAAATCACTGAAATAAACCTTTATGACATCATGGAGTAGGTTATGATCTCACTAAGCTACACATGGTGCTCTAATTTAAGGAAACCCAGGAACAGATGTGAGGCTAAGTTTTAAACGTCTGTTGATCTTCATCACGTTTTTGATTGTCACAGAAAGAACCACAGCAAGAGCCGCCATTTTATCCAGGAGATCATCGCAGCTCTGCAGGCCCCACTGGCTCCAGTCCAAACTCCTGGTTCAGCAATAGGGAGAAGACTGGGCTAAAATGTCCTTCATTAGAAAGGAACTTGGCCAGAATATTTAGCTAATCAGGAATGTGAAACGTTCACGAGAAAGACTCGTCATCTGAAGCGGCATTGATAGATTATCAGTGAATTAGATAAACTGACCAGACGTTTGAAGATCCTTCATTCAGACATCAAGTGATGTGAACCCAACTTTGCTCTTAGTTGGTAAAAAAGCAAACCAGCTTGTTTTGCATAACCAGTTAAGAAATGTAACCGTTTTAGTGGAAAACCTTAATAGAATAAAACCTATAGAATATGTGTGGAATCCAGGCTTATCTATTAAAAATGCTGTAAACCTTGTATTTTCCGCTTCATTTTTGACTTGATGAGTTCTATAAGAACTTGCAGCCACATACAGAATGTAGTCCAGCAAGTCCTGCTCACCTAGTCTAAGCTGAGGAATGTCAGAGTCTTCATTTTTGTCATAACTGAGAGAGTGATGAGTAGCAGTACAATCGCTGACATCAGCAACCTGTTGAATCTCTAGGTTAAATGATGAAACCAGTCACAGAGGAATAAACAAATGTCTTAAAAGGAGAGAATGAAGACATGCTGTCAACAACTCTGTGTCCTAAAAGCATCCGTTTTTGTGTTTTTCAGCTGATCACAGTTTACACGGTGCCGGGGATGGACTCCGACTGGCTGGTCGGAGAGAAGGGAAACCAGAAAGGGAAAGTGCCCGTCACATACCTGGAACTTCTCAGTTAGAGCGTGCTCCTCACGCATGTGCATGAGCCTGAGCTGGCATAACTGAAGCTTTTACTTCAAAGGAAATCACACTTGCACTAACAAGTATGCTTCAGTTACGCTCCTCTACAGTATGACTTTGGAAGAGCCTTGCACACTCCACAGGATGACGTAAGGTCATAGCGACAGGAATACAATGAGAGCAGGAAAGTCCCTGCCTGGGATCGGTGACATTCCTTTCAGACAAGTTTTGGTGTTTCATCACTATTGTCATATTAAAGTTATTGATATTTTTTCCTATTTATCGATGTGCATCTCAAAGATTTCTTCAGATGCAAACTTATTTATTTTCCAAGTGTTTTATTTACGTTTTTCCTCATGTTTTTTGGGGTCTTTCAGGTACTCTGTGGAAAGCCTTTTCAAATAGTGCACATTCCTGCTCTTTCTAAGAATTTATTCTGCATCTGCATAAATACATTTACCTGAAGCTATGTTTGATGTCAGTCATGTAGTTTTATTTCCTCAATTCCTTTTGGTTTAAAGCGTGCACCAAAATTTAAGCGAAACTCAACCTGCATTTGAATCATATAGTACTGACGTCCTGATCTCCTAAACCACCATAGATTACAACACAAGGCTTACACGATTCTGTTTTTGGTTTCTTTTAAACACTTTGACGAGAATAGAATCTATTTTTTTCCTTTTCCTTTTTAAGGAACGCAATGCTTAATCGCTAAAGAATTCATGTGCAGCACATTCTGGCAAATTATGGTCTTTGATTCTTTTCCATCCTCGACTATTAAGGGGAAAATCTGCCTTATTTGCAGAGTAAAAACGATGAATGTTTTCAGAAATATTGCTTGCTGTATACCTTTTCACCACTCTGCAGATTCCCTCATTTAAGAGTCTAAAACCATATTCAGTGAATTAAAATACTGCCTTACATTGATAGAAGGGTACTGTTCACAGAATGTGCTCTTCAAGCCAGCATGCAAGACTGTACTTTTCCTTCATTATACCAAGTTTGGTTCTGGTAGTTTGTCCTTTACTCTTTTCTTTGAACCCCCTCAGCCTTGTTTGTTCACTCATACCTTAAAGTGTCCTCAGACTTTGCTGCATGTGCTTTAAGCTGCTGTAGTTGCCTGTCTTTCTGGGAGTGTGTGTGAGTGAGAAGAACGATGTGGGATCTAAACTTCTAGAGCACCAGACCTCACATCCACTCTGTGTATGCATGAACCTTTATTACCTCCTAACCACTGGTATTATGAGTTTTTGTGAAATAAGTTTTAGCTTAAGAGGAATGTAACCACCTTGTCTTTCTTGCCTTGTTCCTTTTTTTTTTAACAAAAGTGCTACTGATGTATCATTATTTTGCCGGTGTTCTTGTTTTGGCTGTTCTTATATAAATGAGTAAATCACTTAATAAAAACCATAATTTATTTGAAATTGTTCCCTTCTTTTTCCTGTTCTATATCATTACCATGGTCATAAACATCTTTGTTTTTGGACCATTGTTTTTTGTTTTTTTTTAGAGTGGAATTTTCTGCACATTTTGGGGCTTTTCTTCTTGCTCGTTTTGCTCATGGGCATCGCCATATAAACTAGAAAATAAGTGAAAAGCAAATCACATAATCTAATTAAAATTAACATGTCTCCAATTAAGCACTAAGAAAGTTAAATGTTTTCTGAACAAGATCTCTTTCCTCAAAGAGTTTTGTAATGACTTTATTTGTAATATGAAGATTAATTTATGTTGTCTCATGAAGCTTGGCTTCAACAAGATTATGTTAGCATAAAAGATGCAACTATTTTCAGCTATTTACATTTTCTCATGCCCAGAAATTTTGGGCAAGGAGGAGGAGTAGCAACAACCTTTCCGTGTAAATTATGATTAATCCCAAGCCCTTTAAGAGTTACAGTTCTTTTGCAGTTTTAAACATTAATTTCCCTCATCCAAATTGAAAAGCAACAAAACCTTTTCTGTTTGCAACCTTGTATCTTCCATTAGGCCCTTAGTCTGAATTTTAGATCAGTTTCAAGAATTCCTATCTGATTTGTTGTTAAATACTGAATAGGTCATCATCCTAACACTGAAGGTGATAGCTTAAATCAGGCTTTTAATGTTTTCTTAAGTTCTATGAGCTTTGTTCAAAATGTGCATTCTCATCTTCATACTTTGGAGCTTGTGCTACCTTCAAAATTACTTTAACAGAGTTCTCCTCCCCCAAAAGAAGGTTTAACTTAAGAAGACCATTATCAGATAATACAGTTATATATTTTAAAGAAATTTAATAGCTGCTTGGTTTAAAGCTGCGTACTCTGAAGCAGAATGCTAGGAAACTGGAGAGAAAACAGCACTCTACATGTTTACAGGAATCCTACATAATCTGAAAAAAAAAAGTTTATTGCTTGTATAAAATTAGCCTTTCTCAGAACTAGAGCAGAATATTTATCTTCATTAATAGAGGAGAATAATAATGATAATAATACTAGATTTATTTTTAATACAGCTGCCAAACTTGCACAGAGCCATAGCTCTACTGAAACCTTCAGCTCTCAGCAGTTTTGACTTAATGTTTTTTTTAAATAAATGAGATGGATTCTATTAAAAATTAGATCATTGGTGATAAACATGAGTTTTACAGGTACCTGAAATTGAGACAATTATAAGACTGAAATCAGGTGGAAGTGAATGGGCTGATCAAAATAGTGATAAATTCATTCAGTGGAACAAAAATTTAAATGATTTCTACTCTATATCAAAAGCTGATTATGAATAAACATTCAGCTAAATATATAAAACAAAAGTGGGAATCAGAGCTTAACACGACAATTTCAGATGAAGATTGGTTAGACATTAAGATTTTTCATCACGCCTAAAGTCAAGAATAAATATAAGGATACCAACCTGGAGTGTTGGCGGAATTGTGGATCAGTTAACGCCGACCACTCTCACATATTTTGGAACTGTCCTAAAAATTTTTCAAATTTGGAAAAATGTACATGAAATTGAAGAAGATTCTGGGATATGATATTCCTATGAGTAGTGTGGTACTATAGCTTTGCAATTTAAACAATATCAAAGTAAGGGTAAAAGACAGGTGTCTGATTAAGATATTTTTAATAGCTACCAAAAAAAAAGCAATTTCTAGTAAATGGGGACAGGCGGACCCCACCTTGTCAAGAACAATGGACTGGAATATTAGAGGAAATCTACATTATGGAAAAACTGACACATCGTCTAAGACTTCAACAAACAATGGACAACATTCAGGACAAAAGACAGCGACATATTTTAGGAACTAGATAAACGGGAAAAAGGTCAAATAGAGGAATGGCTCCCAAGTGAAAGTTTTATGTTTTTATATATATATATATATATATATATATATATATATATATATATATATATATATATATATATGTGTGTGTTTATATTAAGTTGAATGTGAAATGTTCATGTACACTGTATTTTAAATGATAAAAAAAAAATAATATTAAGATCAATGGCACCCCTATATGATTGATGACAGTGTCTCAGGGCCCTCCCACAGGGACGCCTTGAGGACAACATTCTCTTTTCATAAAGCTGCCTGGTTGTTGACATCTGAAGAGGGAGCCATCATGGAAAGCCAGGTGCAAGGTCCAGATCTCCAAAATGACCACACTGCAAAAATGATCACAAATAAGTAAAAATTTCTTAAATTAAG